AATAATTTTGTAACATTCTCAGTGAAGAGACTTGCAATGATTTGCCCTAGACTTCTGCTTTCAGACGTAGTTAACTATGAAGTTATTACCCTATCCCATAATAATCCAATGCAGAGGCAATAACATTATTTTATATATATTAAATATTTATATATGTATTTTGATATATAGTCTTAAAGTTACAACCGGCCCTTTGAGTGCAACCATAATGCTGATGTGGCCCGCGAAGAAATTGAGTTTGACAACCCTGGATCTAGAGGAATCGTTCATTATTTAAATGTTTTTCGTCATTAAGAAATATCTTTCCATTGTTTTTAAAGGTTAGAGATTTGAGATATTAAGTCTTAGTTTTCTGGGTTATTTGAACTTGATTTGACTTTAAGGATGTTTATTTCCATCTCCCAGCTTTCCTCCTTAAATGCTGAGTAACCATGACTCATTTAAACATTACATCACATCACATGTCACTTGTTAGACGCTTTTATTCAAAGTGACTTACATACTCAATACTGAGGACAATCCCCACAGGAGCACTTTGGGGTGAAGTGTCTCAGGGACACAACGACATGCTGACTGCAGTGGGGTTTGAACCTGTGACCCCGATCCCAACACCAACGCACTAGCCCACTACGCCACACTCCCCCCCTAAAGTTCATCAAACTGCACTAAGGGTTAATTCAGGGTTTATTACAGAGTTATTGAAGAGACCAACCTGAGAGCTGAGAGTCCATCTTTAGAGACTCAGAGGACAGCAGTGACACTCAGGGACAGCAGAGACACTCAGGGACTTCAATAAGGAGTAAGTCTGTAAGGAATCTGTTATAAAGTCTAATAAACCGAGTCTAATAATCCAGAGTCTGCTCAGCTCAATTGAAGACGGTCCGTAAACACACTGTCTTCAAAATAAAAGCACCGTTACAGTGATTTGTGTCACAGAAGAACCTTTCTGTGTGTGCAGCTTCTCCTCGTGTTTGGATCCACACAGTTGTTCTTTTGTCCTCACCTGAGTCTGGTAATGAATAAAAACATGATTGCTCTTTCTTCACTTCCTGTTGCTTTTTGTTGCACTCAAATCAACCTGCCTGAATACCGGTGACACCTGGTGGCGGTTTAGTGTCACTGCACGGTGAGACACTACATACTGATATACACCTGAACATCAGCAGGAGAGGACTCTTTAAAGTAGAGACACTACATACTGATATACACCTGAACATCAGCAGGAGAGGACTCTTTAAAGTAGAGACACTACATACTGATATACACCTGAACATCAGCAGGAGAGGACTCTTTAAAGTAGAGACACTACATACTGATATACACCTGAACATCAGCAGGAGAGGACTCTTTAAAGTAGAGAGGACTCTTTAAATGAAACACAGACAACGCTTGGAACAATGTGTTTTTATTACACCCAGCAGCCTATAGGTCTGTACCAACCTATGGTCACATCGTTAGTTTCCTTCACAACGTAAGAGTAAAATGAAATCAGGCAACCATCTAGAGTGAGGCAGTTTTGCTGATAACGAACACACTGCGGTAAATAAAGCTCTCTGCAGCCGCTCTGAAATGCTTTCCTCTTTAAAACTCCTTCTGTTGTCCATGTGTTCCTTTATTAGCACCAAGTCTGCATGAGTCTCACGGACACTGAATCTGGACTTACCAACATGTTGTATCAACACCGTCGTCTTTTTTGTGTAACATCCAAGAACTCGTGAAAGCAAAGGTGAGTGAAGTCGGCAACATATGAGCACAGTCTTTGTTTACTAAGTACACGGTGCAAGCAGCAGGGTTTTCTGTTTGCTGTGTTCAGCGTTACTGCACAGTCTATCTAAAGCACTGCTCACTCCCAACGAGGCAAACTGCAGAAGTAGCAGCGTCAAAAACAACCACAAAATCAAAGGTTTCACAGTCGACCACGATAAAACGATCAGAGAGGATCTGGAGCTGATGCACACTTTAGTTTTGAAAGATTTAAGCATTTTAAAAAGAAATCCAACACCAACTTTAAGCATTCGTAAGCAAAACAACATGTATACAAGCTTCTGTTTAGATTTTACAATGCAACGTCAGATAAAAAAAACCTTCAACATTTCTAAGCATTTGAACTAATTAAGGCCTTTTTTTAATAAACTCAATGCCTCGATGTTCACTGTATGGTTAAGCACCTTGTGTTGCAACTTTGCACGGAAAGCGTTTTTTAAATAAATAAAGTTTAAGACTTTCATCTGCAGGAGCGTGACTCAAGTACTTTCTGCTAAATGCATTCAAATATCTGGTAAAACCCTTCCTGTGTCGTTCCTCACAAATGTAAAGGCGAGTTTTGGATATAAAAAGAAAGGAGGATGTCAATGTGTATAAGTGTATAGTTTTACGGCCCAACAATAAGACTTACTTTGTTCATTGCACCACTTCATAGAAGTATCACGAATAGAAAAAACAATTCTTCTATTGCACGCCCAGCAGTTCAAACGTCATGTAGAGGAGGTTAAATAAACAAAGGAATGCATTCAAATGGGATTTAAATAAACATTGAAATAAAGGTATGACAACAATCAGTTTCATAGTAAATAATGCACTTAATTACTAAATGACTTCAAAATACTGCAGTGTTTACTATAGATGTGGTTCCTCTTTTCAAACCCAACAATGTACTTTTTTTCAACATCACAAACATAAATAAAATATTTAGTAATTAGAAATACATTGCCATCTGTTTCCGTTCCCACGTGTACTCAGTTAACCGTCCGTCTCTGCAGGGACAGTCGTTGTTTTCTAAGATAACATTTGTATTTGAATAGAATGAGTACATTCGCGTGATCCAGAAGAGCTGCTGATGAGTCTGCTGGTGCACGACCAACTCCACCAGCTCTGCGTGTCTGCAGGTCGTCTCAGGAATCATTTTCTAAAACAGCAGGAAACTTTTTCACTTCAGCCGCTGCGTCACGTTGGCCAAGGCCACAGCGAACGCTTGCACCGCGGAGAAAGGGTACTGGAAATCCAGGATGTAGCCATTACCGTCAATACGGCCGAACTGCATCACCTAAAACAGACAGAAAATAATGTGTTTATTAAATATATCTATAATAAAGAGCTTTATCTGTCGATCGAGAGTCAAATCCAAGGAGAGATAAAGGATGTATCTTGTTATGCTACAGATGTCTTTTTTTCCAATGTAAGTCAATGGGAAAAGTATTTTGGGCCCAATGGCATGAACGGAATAACAAGCAAGTTGTAGTACCACCGTTTGGCCACTACGAAAATATATCAGCAAGAAGGTCAAAGTTGATGCACCATGTTAGTCTGAAGTAGTACGTCGTTATTGAATGCATACTATGCAACCTCACATACTTTGTATTTTAAATAAAAAGTATCTTATATATATATATCCCATTCTAGAAGAGTATACATGGACTAATGACAGGTGAGGGTTTGTGATCACGTTACCTGTCTACCGTCCAGCTCGATCTGGAAGTTCTTGGCGGACTCCTGCGTGACGCGTCCCCCGAAGTCCAGCTGGTAAACCTGCGTCGCTTCGTTCCACAGCGGCTGTTTGTTGGCCATGACGTAGACGAACCCTTGGCTCCCCAGACTGCGGTCCTCTCGCTCGTTGGCCTTGCGGCACTTGATCTCCTCGAGCTCGCTCGCCATCCGCATGCTGCGCTTGTTCTTCCAGCTCTTCTTGCTGCTCTGGTTCTGGTTCATGAGCTCGTCTCCGCTGATGAAAAGCTCCGGCTCGCTCTCCGAACTGTCCTGGAACTCGTTGGTGGTCCGGTTCATCTTCTTGGTTTTATTGAGTTGCTCTCTTTGGCTCTTGGGCTTCTTCTTCTCCCGGGTGCCGACCCTCGGGCTTGAGATGAGGGTGTTGAAGTCGGACAGCGCCCGCCCTTCCTTCCTGGACTTCCCCTCGGAGACAGTGGGCATGTTGGCGTCCTCGGCCCGGCTGTCCACCCTCTTGCGGCTCTTCTTGTTAAAGCGATCGGACTCCTGCTGCACGGGACTCTCGTTCAGCGACGACGACGGCTCCAGGAAGTTGTCCCCGAGATCCTCAGCGGTGCTTTTGGACGGCGGCAGCTCAGTTGGTGGAGGAGGAGGCGGGAGAGGGGGAGGCGGGGGAGGCCCGGACGGAGGAGGTGGCGAGAGGATTGGCTTCTCTAGAATCTGGTGAGTTTTGGTCGGGAGGGGAGGTGCTGGAGGGTCTTGCATGGGAGGCGGGCAGGGGTACGGGTTCCAGGGGTGGAGGCTCACGGGGTGCAGCTGGAGGCTTCCACAGGCACTGGCCCCGGGGTACATCGGAGGGAGAGGGCAGCACGATAAGCTGGCGAGGCTGGGAGGATAACCCGGAGGTAACACCAAGCTTGGATCCTGCTGAGAATAAGGAACCGAAGACACTTCATTCGGAGGCGGAGGAGCGCTGTGAGGCGGAGGGAAAGGCGAGAGTGATATCTGGTATCCCGATGGGAATGTGAGCGTGCTCGTGGTCTGGCTGCTTGGAGGTTTAGTCGTCAGAACAAACGGCAGCCTGGACATGTCCAGATGCTGGGCCTGACTGATGATGAGCGGCGGAGGTTTATGGGCTCCGGGCGGAGGACCTAGAATGGTTTGTTCCGGAGTGAGCCAGAACTCCTCCGTGGTGGAGGTGTCCCACTGGTAAGGCGGAGGGCGTTTAACCGTCAAGCTAACGTCCCCGAGAGTCAGCTGCCGCATGGATTTCTCCAGGTGTTGGTTCAGAGTCTCGTCTTCGGTGAAGGCGGAGTTGACGTACACCGTTCTGTCCCGGGTAGTGTCGGCGGCACTCAGCAGGCTGTAGGTGGACTGCGAGGACAGGGGGGAGGTGCTCTTTGAGTGCACGATGATGGTGCTGTGATGAGAGACTTTCCCCGGCGGGAAGTCCTGCCGAACCACCGTGCCGCCCGCGATGCCGCTACTCATGGTCCCGCCGCCGCTCACACTGACGCTGGTGCTGCTGCTGTTGCTGCTGCACTGGTTGCAAGTGTATAAGGCGGCGGGCGCCCTCTGCTGGTAGCTCAGTGCTAACGCGCTGTTCATTTTAGCCTTAGTGGGCAGCGTCCTGGAGCTCTCCATCATCTGCGGCACTTTGAGCACCGCGTCCCTGCGGTCCCGGCGCATCGTGGCGTGGATCAGACTGCTGTCCATCCTCTGAGGGGGAGGGAGCGTGGCGGTGACCTGATTGGCGGCGTCAGGGTAAGGAGGCGGGTCTCCGCTGGGTATAGAGTATCGAGGGACGGAGAGGCGGCTCAGCGTCGCAGAGCTGTAGGGAAGCTGGATCTTCTTGTTCTCAGAAGAGGTGACTTTGAGCGTCGCGGAGCCTCCGATGCCGTGCACGGCGTACGAGTTTTGGTTGCGGACGAGGCGCCTGCGTGGCCGGCAAACCTCCTCCACGTTGCCGCTGCTGTCGAAGGTGGTGATCCTCTCATAGCCCAGAGGAGTGGGGTACTGCAGAGTGACCGGGTGCAGCAGGAACTCGTCCTTCTTCAGGCAGGGGTCAGGTGACAGGACACTCGGGCTGTCACAGTTGGTGATGAGAGTTTGAGGCGTGGCGACGGCTGTAGTGATCGCTGCAGACACGACGGTGCCTGGGTACGGAGGAGGAGGATTCACCTTCCTCATCTGAAGCTCCATGCCTCCGTCCATGTCGCTGAAGGGGGGAAGACTCCGAGGCATGCTGGGCTTCAGAGTGTGTGCATGCTCCCTGAAGCCCGGCTCGGTGGTGGGGGGAGGAGGCAGGAGGTGGATCTGGTGTAAGGAGATGGTTGGATATCCGGTGGGCGGAGGCGGCAGCGTCATTTGCATCTTCAGCTGCTGCTGCATCACCTGGTGCTGCCTCTGCATCTGCTGGTGCTGCTGCTGGATCTGATGGTGCTGCTGCTGCAGCTGCTGCTGCTGCTGCCGCATCTCCTGGATCTGCTGCCGGATCTGCTGCTGCTGCTGCTGCATCTGCTGCTGCTGCTGCTGCATCTGTTCGTGTTGCAGCTGCATCTGCTGCTGCTGCTGCTGGATCTGCTGCTGGTGCTGCAGCTGTTGGTGGGTGGGGTTCTGTTGCATCTGTTGGTGCTGCTGAGCCTGGTGCTGCTGGTGCTGCTGCTGCTGCTGTTGGTGCAGCGTCTGCAGCTGCTGCAGCTGTTGCTGCTGCTGCTGCAGCTGCTGATGTTGCTGCTGGAGCTGCTGCTGCTGCTGTTGGTGTTGCTGCTGGAGCTGCTGCTGTGTTTGCATCTGATGGTGCTGCTGCTGCTGCTGATGGTGCATTTTCTGCTGCTGCGTCTGCATTTGTTGTGACAGTTTGGGCGGCAGCGTGCGCGGCTGCTGGGGATGTGAGCGCTGCGGGTGAGGCTGCGGGGGGAGGTGGTGAGGGGGAGGCGGCGGGGGGAGAGTACCGGGGAGGAGAGGAGCCATCTCCAGCCCGTTGAAGATCACCTGACCAGGGTTAGAGTACCTGGAGGGCACCGGGTATGGGGAGGGAACGGCGTCCTGCCCGCGGTCTGCAGCAGGTGCAGCAGCGGCGGCTGCAGCGGCAGTGGCGGTGGGGTTGGTGAGGACGTCCAGCTGGATGTTCTGATTGGCCAGCAGAGACTGGACCAGGCCGATGCTCTGAGTGGGAGACATGGCCTGAGCCGGGCTGTGGATCGGAGCGATGGGAATGTTGACGGTGCAGGTAGGGTTGTCTCTGGACACACCTGAAGGACCCATCACTTTATAATAAAACACAAAGAAGAAGAACGTCATTGTGGTATAGCTGCCAGCACTGTGAACCTGGAAATGTTGAGACCCCAAAGTTAGAATAGAAAAATGTAGAGTAGGGTCCCCAGCACGCAGAAACTGATGGATGCTGACCTGCATATGTTGGGACACTTGCACAATCAAACAACATTTTTTCAGGATCAAGAAGTGGCCTTATCTGTACTGATTCTGATGAATTCTGGGTTGATTTTGAAGTTTTAAAGGGCGCTGGATAATTGCTATTGTTTGTATTATCCCCAATAACCCCAAAACCACTCTAGAATTGTGCAAATCGGCCAAATATAGGCTTTAATGCTGACTAATACTAATGAACTCAACTTGTGCTATTTGCCCAACATACAGGGTTCTTACACCTTCTCCAAAGTCAAATTCAAGCACTTTTCAAGGTGCATTTTCAAGCTTTTCAAGCATCTTACAGCT